TTTCTTTTAATGAAGCACTTCGATGAATTATATTGTTCGATATCATCAAATTGATAACGAAACAATTTTCAAATAATATTATCAATGAAACAATGAAACAAAAAGAAAATGACTATCAGAAACGAAATAATAAGAATGCTGACAATATATTCTTAGTTTCTTTTAAATACAGCAATTTATTGAATTATATTGTTCGAAATTATCAAATTGTAGTCTGTTAATTTCCTCGTGCCAATCATTCCAAATTTAAATAAACGCAATCGGGCTGTACATGAAATTATCATTATTAAAGCAAAGAATTCTTAATTATCCTTTAATTAATGATAAAATCGATACAGCGAATTGGTCGAATAATTTAAAACATCGCAAGGTATCCGTATCCTCAAAGCGGCGCTTTCAACCAATGAGACGATATTCTATTAATTTGAGTCACGAGCCAACTTTGTGCTACGATGCGAATACGTGCGACATCTGTTTAATTGCAATCTCGCATATTTAGCGTGCTATAGATGCTTTGAATTTAACGTGTATTACGGCGGATCCCGAGAAGTACGGGAATATTCGAAAATTTCGTTAAATATTTCAAGTTCAGCGCGCGTAACGCAACGCAACAGTGAAATGCATTCGTTGCATTTTTATGATGATTTTCATACGACGCAAACTCCATATATCATATTCGAACGTGTATGCCACGTATTTTTAGTTGTCATTAAACACGTGACTGCTTGGTTTGTGACTGGGCCGACATCAATACATATTTATGATATTCAAACAATTCGATATCAAAGTACTCCAAACGGAAGTATCGGAAGGTATCGGAATTTTGAGCATCAATTTTCAATATCGATATTCCTTGAAATATCCATATTGTACGATATACTTCAGGCATCGATACTTCGTAAAATTATTTATACTCGTTTAATATCTCACTGGAATATTATTTGCAAAGTTAGTAAGAGTTTGTAATAGTATCTTTTTACGTAAAGAACAGACGAATAGTAACATACAATGAAATGGAAATGTTGTTCTCTGTAATTTATGTAAACTGTAAAATCACGATCTATATCTCGTACAGCGAAAGACATGTACAATGTTACGGGATGAAGATATAAGGCGAATAACATAGGAACGTGATATGTCTTCCTGTAGTTGCAAGAACCACTCTATTGTTACGAGCTGAAAAATCCTTTGTATAAATCATCAAGATTCATTATGCGCATTAGAAATGGCGATTTATCACGAAGCATAATTCTTCGTAGCTACCATTTTGGATGGAATTCTTCAAGTACGAGCGTGTACATATATTGCTTTTGTTCTGCATGTGGCGAGAAAATTCTTTGGTATTTTGCACGAGAGTGGATCCGTAACTTTAATTACCCTAAAATCCTGCAGCTTCACTATGATCAATTAGTACCACGTATCTTTATACTTAACGTTTATTATTCCTAAATGTATACATAAATCGCCGATTAATGAAATTGCGAAGCTTTATATATCTTCATAGAATCACATAAAACACCATGACTTTATAACAAAACAAACTGGTCCGGACTTAGCTTTTTACCTCGAAAGTATCAGAATATTCTACACTCATAAAGTATTATATTTTACGTAATTTATTTTTTCAATCAGCAAAGTTCTTTCATCTTCGTTGCTACCATCCATAGGTAGCAATCTCGAAGAGAATAAGCTGTTTTTAACGTATCGACAGCAATCGAAGGAAAAGTGCTCGTATAGTCTTAGGCGGACACGCGTGAATCGATACAATGACGTTCCCGACGATTTGATCTAAGATCGCTGCCATAACGCACGAGACCATGTCCCATCTAGAAGCGTATCTTCGTAAGAACCTGAGCCATAAATTCTTCGGGGCTGAGTTCCACCCGCGGAGCGTTTATAGCTAATAAACGTAAATACCTGGCGTGCTGCTTATGTGAAATACACAACATATTGATACACATTAACTGTCAAAACGTAGGGAGATGGGCGACGACAATGTCGGCAAGAATGACGGTGCCACGAATACTTCACCGTATAACGATTTTAATGTTTCCGTATGCATGGGAATTTGTAAACGACGCCGGGTTGGATTTAACGATTTGCCACATTCCTCCACCTCGTTCCGTTTATTTCAATTTCCAAGTGGCCGCGATGATTGCGCCACTCAGATTACAAAGACGCAAATACATCCACCGTAATCTTTCTTATCTTCGCTGTTCAAACAAATTCACAAGTCATATACGTGCTAGACACGTCTGTCATAAATACAGTAAATTCCACTGTCATTCGAAACTCGGTTATTCTCTATAAATTTGTTTTTGTTACGGTATAGAGAGGATTTGGAAAGAACAAAAAGTTAAAATTTATTTACAAATTATCTAAATTTAGCTCTACATGTAGGTGACTCTCTGAAGGACTCGACAACACACTCGTTTGCTTGTTTATTTTCTTCTAGTCGCTCTTTTGTCTCAACTGAGACCTGGACATCCTGCGACGCTCACATACACTCTAGGGAAGGGATGCATACATGTTTCTGCTCGCTTTTCGCTCCCTCACTCTCACACGTACAATATAAATGTACTATCTATTTAACAGTTTTACACGCCAAATTTCCATTCCTAACGTGTGATACTAACTAGCCGCCGTTTCTCGAACGAGAGCCGCGAGAAATGCGCCTTGTTTCTCCACCATTAGAGGAAAAGTTATTTAGCGTTACGGGCCAACGTTCTTTAACAGAACGATGGAAGAAGAAGAAAAAAATGGGAAAAAACAGGTGGCGGTACAGAACGGCGGAGACGAGGTAAAGAAGGTTCGCGCGATGTACACACGAAGGTGGATGATGTACACGTGTTAAGTCGCGCACGAGAAGCGTGCACGTAAGGCGAGCGTATATCTCGAGTTGGCCGCATGCAATCTACTGGTATGGAAGGGAAATAATATATAACGAGCAGGAGAAGATGAAAGGTGGTTGTGGTGGAAAAAAAGGGGGAAAAAAATAAGAGCGAGAAGGCGAAATCTGACGAGAATCAAGGAGAAAAGTGTACAAACCTCGGGGGTTCTTGGCGCAGCCGAGCAATGTCCGCTCTTTCCTGCAATTATGCTTCGAGGTGAATCCGTCTCTCGTTCGTTGGAGCTGCCAGAGACTTGCACGCGTTCTCAGTTGAACACGTGCACGTGCTTGTGCCTCTGGAAACATTAGCATGGTCTTGAGAAAGCCACGGTTCTTGTAGGTTTTCGCGGTTTCGCGAAATTAAGACGTGACGAGGTTCGCGGAACGGAACAATTCGCTATGCCTCGGCTCGTTGCCTCGCGTTTTCTTCAAATTGACGGCGTTCACCCGAAATGAATCGAAAGTCTATTGTACGTTGCCACGGGGCGACTTGAAGATTACGCCCGTTAGTCTGCACGGAATTTAAATTGCACGTGTTAATTAAGTCACCGTATATAGTGCTATTTATAAGGAATCGGAAGAATTATGGAATTGTTTTAATAGATTCTGTTCAAAAGATGCACCGTGGAACTTTTTTTTAGAAAACCTTCACACGTTCTAAGTTCCGATGAGAAGAGGAAAGAAAAGTTCTTGAAAATGAAGGTTTTAGTGCGAATAGAACTTGTAACATAAACAAATAAACATTTTTCTATAAGAGGAATTTCGTTCGGGAATATTCAAGAAATTCTCGATTATTGTAACAAATGCTAAATACCATCCCGTAAATAGCAGTACAGTGATATTAAACAATTGTTACGGTCAAATTGGTATTCCGAATATATTGTTTATTTGTAATATTTACGTAGATAATTCACAGATTATTTACGTAGTAATTATTAAATAATTTACGTAATTTATTTTAGATAAATATTTCTGTGTATTTCAGTTTATTTAAATTATAAAAAGATGTTATTTAAGTGTTATTTTTGACAAGTTCTTTTTTCTGCACAACACTTTTTATGAAACGGTTAATTAATCATGTTATGATTTATATACCATTTACTAAATAACCATATGAACAATATGATATTGTTAAATAAAACTACTATGTAATATATTAGTAATATATTGGTATTTTTATTTATCCCATGAAACCTTTTCTAGGATATATATTCTAAGATAACTTGTTTTCATGAAACTTTTATTAAACAGACATTAAAATATCTGTTCCATGAGAACACTTCTCAAAGAAGTTCCTTTAAAGAAAAGTAACATTTCTTTCCGCAAAAATTCCACGGGAACAGATATTTTCTGAAGAAACATATTTTCGAAACGAAACGAAACATGTAAGCAAAAACATATTAAACAACCGAAAGATAATAATTTATTTTAATGCCTATCCATTATTCATTTATCAATGGAAACCAATGGAAGAATAAAAATAAATAATAATAAATATAAGAATAACGTTGAAAGGAACGTATAAGGATAAGTATTAAAAATATTGCTAAATTTGCAAAACAAAATTATTTTACGATTATACATCTAGAAACGTAATACAGGCCAATACAAACATATCCGACTGATACAGTATCTGTTATTAAATAAAATTGATAAAAGATGATCATTTAATTCGGTTCAGATATTGATAAAAATATTCATCGTTGCAGAAATAACCAAACGTAAAACATGTTGAAAAACATGAAAATAAATGGGAAAATAAGAGAATACGAACAATTTCGGGAGTCTGTTATCAGTGTCAGCACGTTATTTTAGCAAATGCTGGTCCACGTTAAGGCGGTCATAAATGCGTGTACTGGCCAAAAGTCGAAGATTAATTGGAAACTCGAATTTGATCGCCAAATGTTGATAAAGAAAAGCGGGGAGCGGTTTATGATTCCAGAAAAGAGCGACAAATGGATTCGTGCCAGAAAGCTGTGTAGTCTGACCCGCCGAGAGAGTCAAAATGGAAACAGGCAAAAATCCAAACTTTCAAAATTACGTCAAGAATTATTAACGTCTATGCGTTGTCGTCGAATTCCCCAGAAGTGGAAGCAGAAGTAGCATGGTTTTCAAAAAGGTAAACGTTCTTTTCGGATTAAAGTGAACTGAAACTAAATATGCATTGCTCCTCGGAAACGTTCGTGTCGCTGTTGCACTTGCACTTTGCGAAAAACCAGAGAACCAAAAATATCTTGACATCTCACCATCGTGAAAGTTTGAAATCTGAAATCTAAAAACTAAATTTGTGCTATTAATTTCTCTGTCGCTGTCCTAGAATAATCGCAGTTAGACTAGAACAGCGGTGAATGTCATTGACATTAGAGACGAAGTTGCACTCAATTTACCCGCACTTTTTCCCTTTTAATAATCTCGTCGAAACTGCGAAAGTGAAATGAACTTCGAACTAACCGTAAGTATCTGCGATAAATTCAACTTCAAAGTCAAAATTTACTTTCAATCATTTAAAATAATTGGATAGACAATAGAGATAATTCGCAAAAGTTCAAAGTATATTTTTAGTTCGAACGCTTCATTTTTATCTTTATCTCGTGTTTCGAGCGACAGAGGTGAATTTTGTCGTTTTTGCGATCACTGAGAATCTTCTAACAAAAGGAAGATACGGATCGCGAGCTCCTCTCGACACAAGCAGCCGCTATAAATAATTTGCGACTAGATATCGTAAACGTCATGCGGCTTTTTCAAAATATAAATCACTCCAGCCGAGGCTCGTTGTAAAATCTTACCCTCTACTTTACTTTCTGCTACAACAGCTGGACATAAACGTCTCTCCTCTGATGCGGTTGCTTCTCTATAGTGAAGCGAAATCTTGTATTCGGTAGCGCATTACAATTTTACGTTGCAACATGATCGTAAACAAGCGCACACGAACGAAAGATAATGTTGGATTTGATCATTTCGATACGCGAGGAAGCTAATATGATAATCGTTCGTCGTAACGTTCTTTTCCATATTTCCACGAATAACAGATTTCACGTTATTTAAATAACGCGTTACGTTCATAGACTTAGATCACGTAAGTATTAGGACACATTGTTGGTTCAAATTATTAAGTAAACGAATGTAATTAATCAAAATGTTGTATTCAAAAATTGCACGTACGTATAGCATAAAATACAATGTAACACAAAAGAACAACGTAATCAGTTCAGAATTACATGTTGTCCCTTATAATCTCTTAGAACGTTGGATCAATGATCTCGCGCGAGCTTTCAAATGCTGAATATAACAAGGCAATAACTGGTAGAAAAGGAACTTAATCTCGTTTGATTTTATGGTCACCGGTTCTTCCTTTTTCCATTTTTCATTCGAATTGATCGCACGAAGTAATAGAAATACCGTGACTCGCATAAAATTGTATTCGACGTGCAATCTACACGACTCCATCGTATTCAAATACATACGTATATTTACAACGTGATAAGTTTCCGTGCTACCAAAGTTAGCGCCGGAGGTGGTCATTATCCTGCATAAATACCGATAATATAATAGTTCAACGACGCAAAAGCATTTCGCGTGAAAGCCAACGGGGAAACTCAGTGAACGACGTTTGAGAGGCGAGAAGAGGGAACATGTTGGAGCAGTGGCCAGAGTTGGATGGAAGGAACATAAAACACGAGTCGATCAACGACGTCGAGCCGCGTAAACCAACAGCACCGAGTATAGTTGCATGTATAAAGGCATTGCCCGCGCCTTTCAGAACCTCCGCGAAGTATCGCGAAAAACTTAGTTTTGCCAAGACGATAAATCATCTTGAAATTCGCCCGGGCTGACAGCCATGTAGTTTTACGAGGGCCTGCACGCAAAATGCAAAGCAGCGCCCGTACACCCTGTGGGCTTGCATCGCAATTAATTAGCGTTTCGTGATACCCGTGCATGTGCCGAACCACTCTTTTTTTTACGTCAGCTAACTAAAAACTGCTCGCACGATAAGCTAACACCATTCGATGATCCTGCGGGACGTGTAGCAACGTTCCAAAGGACACGGAAGTCCTGACCGCAGATTAACAATTCTATGAGGAAATTTTTCTACAAGGCGAAAAATGTACAAGGGACGCGCCTGGTTCGTCTCGCGGGATGATCCTGATGACGAATACAAATACATTGAAAGTAAATTTCTAAAAGAGTGAAATACGTAGAGAATTGTTGAATTGGTATACGAGTACGTTAGCAAGTATGACGGGATAATTGGAAGTTACTGATGTGACACGTAAAACGGTATTTTTCGACAACTATTCTTCATGTTAATTCCAGCAACTTGTTCTTGATATTAATCTAACAAGAATATAAAACTATTTCATCCCGTTTTTTAACGATTCAATGTATTTTATTGGCTCGTTTCATTCTTTTTTTTCATTATGCATTAGTGTAAAGCTTGATGTAAATATTTCTTTCGTTTTTAACAGAAGCTTGTCAAAACTGTGAATGGAACGTACATGAAAAGTGAAAAATCTTTTCGAAATAAGATGTACAAACAATATCGCTCGTTTCTTGAAGCACACGTTAAATAAATGAAACTATGACACTTGACAACGAATACAAAGATTACGAAAAAGTGGCCATACCATACAAGAAATAAAAACGTATAGAGGAGCAAGGTGCGAGACGATAATAAATGTAACAAGTAGAAGAATATGGTATTTTATTAAAATCCTTACATTAATGAGAACGCGGAGTTAAATTCTCATAATGCAAGCACATTTTGAAAAACCTCATGGTCTATTTAACTTGTATTCATTTATAAATCATATATTTACAATAAACAATATGTGATTAATCCTTATATTATATATAACCTTCCTTTTTTTGTATTACAAATCTCTCACTCGCGTTCGCTTGTCCTATGTTAGTATCCTTCAAATTCCTTCGATGAATATTGCAATATCTTTAGAGTGCGACAACGTACCGTGTATATCAACTTAAGACCAACGCTTCAATCCTATATGTATAATTTTCACGGTTCGCCTAGGACTTAGAATATCATAATTCATTTAAATCGCTTCTTAATGCATGATGCTTTTAGTTAATCGTTTGATACTTGAACGTTGTCACATAGGTCGACGAATCTAAACGGCGTATTTGAGAACACACGGAGGAACAATCCACTTGGACAATACTTTACGACGCTATAGCGCAGATTTGTTAACATCTCCTCGTAGGAAACAGGAAAATTTGATTCTCAGTAATCGTAAAATTTGTAACTAGCGTTAGCGTCAGGTACAATGCCCGCATCAACCTGATCGGTAGCGATTGAATGATTCTGAACATCGCCCTGCTTTTCGTTATCTTGAAATGTTTCCAGGAAACTTAGCGATTCCATTTTGATCATGACTTTTTAACAAATCCGCTTTTAGGCGGTGGGCTAACAGGTTTTTCAGATATAGGTGTAGTAGGATTCATTCCAATGACACGTGCCATAGGCGGTATCCCGTCACATTTAGAGGACGACGACAAGGTTGGCGATGGGGACAGCCGTTCTACGCACAATGTTTGCTGTGGAAGTTGTGCGTCTGTCTGAATGCCATCGGAGCCATATATTTCCTTTAAAATCATCAGCATAGTATCCTCAGACTCCCTAGACAAAAAAAAACGTTTTGAGTTAATTAAGAGTTTTCTACAAAGTACCTACAATACTCATTGGAAGAGTGTAACTGCGTTTGCATCTATGGGAAATTTAAAGGTGCAAAAACATATAGAATACACATAATAGCGTTGCACAAAAAGTACAGTAGTCGTTATAATATTTAGAGAGTCAAGCAAATCTCTGCCTAAGTTCTACTCCTTTAGACGTGTTCATAAAGATATAAATTAATATATGAAAATATTAGTACATACTATTTTAAACTCTTTATTATAAATAATAAAGGGAAATGATAAAAAAATATTTATCTTGTAAAACTCAAGAACTTTGTCAAGTAATCTAAGTAATAATTAATTTGCTATTTATATACACGAAGCGTTACGTGAAGCCTTCAATGAAGACTTTTCAATAATTTTTAATACGATTTGAAAAATTTTACTAACCAGTAACAGACGTGACTTGTCAATGCAAAAATGTACTCGTTAATGTACTCGAACGGAGCTTCCTGAAGGACGTAATCTATTCTTCGCCCACCATTTAGGTTGCCCACTTTAAACTCAACATCGATATCGTCGTTAGTTTGTTGATCCGAAACTGTTTGTTGTAACTGTTCTTCCATAACTTTGTCTATTTCACGCTCGAGTGTGTTATTATCTGATCTGTGAAACACTGCCAACTGATAGACAGAATTCCATGTACTTCTTACGGAATCCAGTAGCCTCTGCTTGAGATCCGCGCCGACCCGCGCCATTGTCTCCTTTAATTCTACAAGATACACAAATTATGGCAACATTTTTTACGTATTTTTTATTTCCCTAATTTTATCTCCGGTCGAATACCTATCACTATTTTCAATTTATAAATTGTTTATCACATTAAAACTTCCGTGACATATTTTGCAATAAATAGAGGTAAAAATGCTTCAAAAGAAATTCTTACAAAATATTATAAAGAATTCTGTTTCGTTTTATATTAGTAAATTTGTACTAATCTCTATACTAACTTTAAATTACAATTTGAAAATGCATAACTATAAATCAACTTTATATTGATTTACGAAAACATTAAATTTTTAATGGAAACAAATGTAGAGATACTTAAAAGAATGTTGAAATGAATTTTATTGCATATAAGGACACGACAAGTAAATAAAACCGTACCACAAATAATATGTTACTAAAATGCTCTAAAATATCTCTTTTGAAATGTAAAGTAAAAATTGTTTAATTGATCTGAAATAGATTTTGTATATCACAGTAGGTCTCAAATGAACGCTTACCTAAATGCATTCTCTTACGTCCCTTATGGTGGGGAATCAACATTGGTCGATATTTAGGAGCATCTGGATTAATGAGTGCTTCGACTCTATAAGCTACTGGGTCGAACGGGTGAAATATGTTGAAAAAGGCGGGACACGTTGGTAATGCAAAATCTTCCCCGAGCATATCAATGCCACGAACTGTCACGAACATACCAATTGGACTACCGAGAGCGAAAAAGGCACGTGGGTGAAAATGTAACTGTGTATAGTGTATATAAGGCTGACCCGTTCCGGCAGAACCTACTACGTAGCTTATCTTTTTACTGAGACGTCGTTTCGCTACACGATCGGATAATTGAGAGGGATCGATATTTTCTTGATTCTGAAACAAACAAAATTAAACTGTCGTTATAAACTAAAAGTAAATTAATAGTTCGAGTGATAATAAAAGTTTATGATTAATTTTTTAATAATTATTGTTCGACCGTATTCGCGCTGAGACGCGTTTGTTTGAATGATTTTGACACTGAGTTCACAGTTTAAATATCACTACTTATTTCCAAAAACTTTTGAACGATATATAAAGACATATTCTGTACTATTCTAATTTTTAAACGATCCGTAAGATCTTCAGAACTATCAGTTTATATTAAAGTGTAATGTAATATAATAAATCAAGTTGCAAGAATTTAGAAAAATTCATTCTGACTGGATGCGTCGAGTAATAGGTATACAAGCAACCTATGAAAATTGGTTTTCATCGGCAACTTTAACAAGAAAGATTTTTCTGAAATTAATAATTTCTCGAAATATAAAAATGACAATAAATAAAAAGGTTTCTTCACGCATTCTTTAATCAAAGACTTGTTCGATCGTTTTTCTAAATTCTCTTTTCTACGTTTCCCCTTTTAAAATCAAGTAAACATGATTTACTTACTTGCTCTTCGTTAGTTTCACTGTCATCACACGATGTATTATCCGACAGCGGTTTCTGATGGCACAGAAGATCAAATAAAATTAAACTACCTAAAGAATGGCCACCCAGATATATTCCACCATCGAAATCCGGATTACGTTTCTTGAAAAGAGCGGCTAGTCTGTTTATTTCATTTCCAACCGTCTCTGTGATGGTTTGACAATATACTGGACTAGTATAGAAAAGTATGTCGAGCAATGTGTCATTGGTGAAATGTCGTAATTTCGGTATACTCTCCAAAGTGATCGCTTGTAATTTTTTATCGATTCCAGTATCCTCGGAATGAAGCGTCGTGTGCCACGAGATTGGTAAAACTTCTATCCTATTCACGATTCTCTGTTCACTGGCGGTTCGATAATGTGACTGGACTAACTGCAGCGAAATACTTCGAAATTCGTCGACTGTAAATCCATAACACGACTTATTAGTAGCACCATTAAATTGTTATTACATTGAACTTATTACCAATGCAAATAGTTATTACAATGTATTTCTATTATTTATTATTCGAGAAGCTTTAGTACCAGACTTGTTTACCATGCAAAAGTATAAAATTGTTTTTCATACATTTAAGAATTGAACACAATATTACTTTTTATTTATCATGTCGTTCAGAATTTCCTCTCTGAGAAAGTAGAATTTTTAGAGATACTATAAGTTTACATTTAAAGGAATACTGAAGATTTATAAAAATAATTTTGATCGTACCAACTTCTTCCACGGTTCGGAATTTCAAGTCACAAACGCTTCCAATGCCATGAACGATGAACAGAAGATGATCCACTTTCTCAGGCTCGCCATCTTCGATGTGGAACTCGTCAAGGCCTCTTTTTATCACCTTAGGCCTACTACCAGCACCCTGTAAATATGCACTGTCCTCTGAGCCCTGTACAAATTGCGATTCAACATTTCCAACAGAACCATTCGTGCGTAATAAAAAAGAAAATAATCGGAATAAAAATGAATGCGTGACATGCCTGCAAAGACAGCAGTTTATACTGCGCTGAACGATAGCTAGAAAATCAACGATTATTTTATAAATTGTTTACTACGCTAATGAAATTACAGCGAACTCTTCCAGCAACAAAGATTTGGTTCAAAATATATTTAAATCATCAAGTATGCAATTTATTAAGTACTCTTCTTCCAATTATGCGTTATACTTAATTTATAGAGCCTGAAAAATAAAGTCTTTTTTTTTTATTTGACCACAGACTATATTTTCCATAAAATGTAACGTCATTTAAGATGTATCTTTTCTTTTAATTTATTTCAAATTTGAATTTTATTTTAAGATGTAGCATAATAATACTTCGAAAATATTTGGCAAAATACTTAAATGTCAAATTTAGCATAAACTGAAAAAGTGTGGCATTCAAAAAATAAGCATCTACCTAAAGTGTTTAGTATAAAATATCGTGATCACACACAATAAAAAGATTAAACACAATAGTTAAAACAAAAAAGAACATAAATGTTAAAGCACATTGAAAATTCTATTATTAAGGAACAAATTTTTAAAGATGCATACTACTTAAGACACATTAGAATTCATGCGCACATATTTGTACATTTAGTTAACTAAAAGATCAAATAATACTTTTAATCTTCGTACCCAAAATACAAATATATGAGACAACAGTATCAAATAAACATCTTTAGCATATACATTTATATATACAAAATAATTATCTAATACAAGGTGCCTCACAATTCACGAT